TTTTTTTTATTCCTACTCACTAACCCCACCGCCCCCACACCACCCTGGGAACGCCCTCTGCGGGCTTGCATCATGGTGGAGAGGGCGGGCAGGGAATACTATCTACAGGAAAATCCTAGGTCCCTCCGTCCTCAACTCACGTCCTCATCCATCCCAAGGCTCCGCTCGTCCCCGCACTTGGTCGTCATGATGGCTCTGACGATCTCCTCTCCCTCCTTCCATTTTGCAGGCGTGTCCAGCATGTCCCGAAACATACGAGGGGATCGCGAGTCTACACACACTGCAATGGCCCGAATTTCTGCCCATCTGGGACAAACAAACAGCGTGTGCATCGGGCTGTCATGCTCACCGCAGTACCAGCACTCTCCGTCACCGACTTTGCCTATCCTCCACAGATACTCTTTGAAGCACCCATGTCCCGACAAAGCCTGAGTCAGAAAGTATCCACTTCTCTTATGCGGGCAGTCCACCCATCTCCTCAGGTCCGGGATAAGAACCCTGGTCCATTGCCCCTTCCGACCACTACTCCATCTGTCCTGCCACTCCCCCAGCGTTCGCCGCCTGGCCGCGCTCCTCGTCGCCGCCGTCACCGGCCTCTCTCCCGTCTCATCCAGAAGGACCCTCTCCCTCGTCAGCAGGTCGATGTGTGGTATCCCCGCTATAACCTGGATCGCCTCAGAGGAGACGGTCCGGTAACCACAGACAACCCTCAGCAGAGCCCTCCTCTGGATCGACTCCAACATCCCACGGTATTTTCCGGCCTGCACGGCACCGTGCCAGACCGGAGCACCATATAGGAGGACGGACTGCACCACCCCATATAGCAACGCCCTTTTTGCCATCTGCGGTCCGCCAATGTTCGGCAGCAACCTGGTCAGCGAGGCAAGCTTGGTGCCCGCCCTCCGCACCGTCTCCACCACGTGTGCCCCAAAACGCAGGTTCTCACCGATGGTGACCCCCAGGTATCTCAGCGACTTTGAGGGTTTTATGGTCTGCGGGCCCATGCGGAAGAGCACATCCCGCCTGTCCCTCTTGCCACCCAGAATTACTGCCTCGGTCTTCCCCGCGGCAACCTCGAGCTGGTTCGCCGCAAGCCAGGAGCTCACAGCTCGCAAAGCCTCATTTGTCTCCTCCATTAGAGCGTCCCTGTCACCTGCCACCGTCACCACCGCCAGGTCATCAGCAAAGCTCAGAACAGTAACATTCCCCGACGTCACTGACCCCAGCACATCGTCGTAAAACAGGTCCCACAGGATCGGTCCCATCACCGAGCCCTGTGGGATCCCCGCCGTCACGGCAATCCTCTCACCATCCTGAGTTACTACACTCCTGTCCCGGAGGTAGCTCCCGATCACCCTTTTCAGGTAACCAGGAATCGCTCTTCTATCGAGCGCTCCCCTTATCCTACTCCGTGGTGCAGTGTTAAACGCGTTCTTCACGTCGACCGTGACCATACAGCACCAGCCCTCATCCTTCCAGTGGTTGTTAGTGTTTCGTCTCGCACGGTGATTGCGTCCAACGTACATCTCCCCTTTATGAAACCAAACTGGTTTGGAGATAAACCGCCCCCTCGCTGGATGTCCTCCTCAAGTCTCGCCTTCAGGAGGTGCTCGTAGATCTTTGCCGCACTGTTTATAAGGCACAGCGGACGATAGGAGCTCGGCAGCTCCACCACTTTGCCCGGCTTGGGGACAAGCACCAGTCTCGCCTCCTTCCACTCCCTGGGGAACTCTCCGCTGGCAAGCAGAGCGTTCAGCACCTGCAAGGTGTAGCCTGGGGCCGCCCTAACCGCTTCCTTCACAGCCTCGGGGGGGACACCGTCCGGTCCCGCAGCTCTGTTGTTTTTTATCTTCGCGCAGGCTAGCATCAGTTCCCCCTCCGTAAAGAGTTGCACGGCCCCGCCGTCACTCTCCGCTCCAGGAGCCGCGCTCGCCGCGGTGTCACTCGACCTCGGGAAGAGTGCCTCTGCAATCAGTCTCGTTCTTCCTTCCGATAGGCGGTACGGCAGTCCCCCTTTTAGGCTCCTCTTGACCAGTCTGTACGCGTCTCCCCAGATGTTGTCGTTTAGTTCGGCGCACAGATCTGACCATTTCTTCTTTTTCTCCGCCGCTATACACTTTCTGAGCACCTTCCTGGCTTCCCTGTACTGCTCGGTCAGCGTGTCCGCCCTGGCCGGGTCCCTCCTCCTCGTCAGGGATCTCCTCAGCCTTATACATAGCTGTCGCTGCTCCTGAACTTCCTTGGTCCACCAGTACGGCGCGTGTCCGCTGTGCCGGCCCACCCTTATCTTGGAGAAGTTGTAGGCATCCTTAATCGCTCTGTTCCACTGCCTGGCACTGTGCTGCTCAGCACACACCCTGGTCCTGTTTTTGAGGTGTGTGACAAACTTCGCAGCCTCGAACTGCACCCCTCCCTTGAAGGATCCCTTCGCACGACCCGGCGAGGAGCCGGCGTCCACTCCGACAGAGAGCAAAATGTGCCTATGCGGGGACAACGGTTCGTTGTCAAGGACCTCCCAGTGAGCCACCCTGGCCGCAACAGCTTGCGTGGCGAACGTGACATCTATGTATGTCCCGTCGTTCCCCTCACAAAAGTGGGGGCGCCTCCCCGGTTCAGGACCGCCCATCGCCCTGGCGGCACTCGCCTCCAACAAGAGTTGGCCTCTGGCGTCGCATAGTGGGGCTCCCCATTCCGGGGCTTTCGAATTAAAGTCGCCCAGGACGATGGCCTCCCTGCCCTCGCCAGTGACTAATCCGGTCAACTCATCCACGTACTCCCGAAACTGCCTCACGCTTATGTTCGGGGAGACATAGCAGCCATACACGTGAAACTCTTTCATTTTTAGGCACACTATGCCCCCTCTCGCCAGTACCCCATCAGCCCGGAGCCTGTTGTTCATGAGGCATATGGCAACATCCGCCCTGGCGTCCACTATCCATTTTGCATTGCCAGTGACCTTCCTCTTGTTGGGCTCGCTTGCAACCAGCACATCCACGCCCTCCTCCATGGCTGTTTGCAGGGCCATATCGTGCGCTCTGCATGAGCGGTTCGCGTTTATCTGCAGTATCTTCAGCATTATGTGTTAGGGGGCCTGTCGAGGGCACACCTCAGTCACAGCAGCGAAGCACAAGTACCAAGCAGCGAGTGGGACAACCCGGCGACGAACAAAGTTAGAATCGGTAAAATTATTGTATAACATATATTTTAAAATGGTATAAGACGATATATATATGAGACTAAGGAGAGCCCTCCCAGCGGACAGAGTTAAAATATTGTAGAACACATATGTTAAAATAAGAGGGAACCCCCCGAAAACGAACGATGTTAAAAGGTCTGTGTAAAGGACAGAAGGTTTAAAACGCATGGGAATAACCCGACAAGGGACAACTTCGAAAAAGTAGACAACCACGATGATAAAAATAAAGAGGGGAATACCCCGAAGACGGTACAGAACAAATCGATCCAAATGGAACAGCTTAAAATGGGGAAAACCCCAACTGCAGACAAGTTCACAAAAATTGTAGATTGAACAGCACAAAAACATCAAGAATGGTGAAACGATCCCAACGTGGGACATCCACGCTACCATCCAGAGCTTGGTCAGCAGGGGCAGCGGGGCATAGTGCGCTACCCAACCAGCCTCCCTGCCGGTAAAATTGTCGGGGGGCGTCATATGGATGGCAGTGTTCACTTTCTTTTCTCGCTCCTTAATGCCTCTCTCAGGCGAGCGAACTTCTCCGGAAAGCCTTGCATTTGCCGCTGCCAGCCCTGTGGTCCTCCCGGCAAATGACGCAACTCGCCTCGCTCTTGCAGTCTTTTGCTGCGTGCCCCCCTTTACCACAATTGAGCTGAACTCCCCCTTCTATCAGGTCCGGTGCACCTCTCGGCATCGTGATCAAACAGCCAGCATTTACTGCACCGCTTGACACTCACC